CTCACATGCCTCAACACCCAAAAAGCAAATAACCCAAATAAAAAATGGGCAGAGGATATGAAGAGACAAATCTCCAAAGAAGAAATTCAGATGGCCAACAGACACATGAAAAGATGCTCCACATCACTAATCATCAGGGAAATGCAAATTAAAACTACAATGAGATATCACCTCACACAGTAAGGATGGCCAGCATCGAAAAGACTAAGAACAACAAACGCTGGCGCGATGCGGAGAAAGGGGAACACTCCTACACTCCTGGTGGGAATGTAAGCTAGTTCAACCATTGTGGAAAGCAATATGGAGGTTCCTCAAAAACTAAACAAAGAGATACCATTTGACCTGGGAATTCCACTCCTTGGAATTTACCCAAAGAATACAACTTCTCAGATTCAAAAAGACATATGCACCCCTATGTTTATTGCAGCAGTATTTACAATAGTCAAAATATGGAAGCAACTTAAGTGTCTATCAGTAGATGAATGGATAAAGATGTGGTACAAATACACAATGGAATACTATTCAGCCATAAGAAAGAAACAAATCCTACCATTTGCAACAACATGGATGGAGCTGGAGGATATTATGCTCAGTGAAATAAGCCAGGCAGAGAAATACAAGTGGCAAATGATTTCCCTCATTTGTGGAGTATAACAACTGAGCAAAACTGAAGGAACAAAATAGCAGATTCAGAGACTCCAAGAAGGGCCTAGTGGTTACCAAAGGAGAGGGGTGTGGGAGGGTGGATCGGGAGGGAGGGAGATGGGGATTGAGGGGTATTATGTTTAGTACACATGGTATGGGAGGTCACGGGGAAAACACTGTAGCACAGAGAAGGCAAACAGTGAATCTGTGGCATCTTACTACACTGATGGACAGTGACTGCATTGGGGTATGGGTGGGGACTTGATAATATGGGTAAATGTAGGAACCACATTGCTTTTTCATGTGAAACCTTCATAAGAGTGTATATCAATAATACCTAAATAAAAAATTTTTTTAAAAATCAACTTTACATTCAATGTAAAATAAATTGATGCCATAAATGTACATACAATGTTAACTGACCATTAGATTAAGCATTGGGAAAATCTATGTCTGACTCTCTGACCCTGAAGAAAAAAATAGTCCAAATGAACTGTTCATGAGTAGGGGAATGATGGTCATTACTCTTTTTCTCCGGGAATTCACCTCTACCCTATATATTGCTGATGTAAAGGTTCTAGGTTAAAGTGAAGTCATAGAGAAGTAAGAAAGAACAAAGATAGAGATGTGAAATTTTGACAGTAGAAACAATACATTTTTAAAAAATTTTAGTTAGGGTACAGCTTACAAAAAAAACCACACAGTTCATAAGCATCAGGTCCACGAACTTTGGTAACTATCTATACTCCTGCAACCACCATCTCAAACAACGTTTAGAACATTTCCATCATCCTTCCCTCAGAGGCAATCACTTTGGCTATTGCCTTTGGATGAGTTTTGTCTGTTGCTGGATTTCATATACATGACATTATACAGTATATGTTCTATATGGATGTATCTGACTTTTTTCATTCAACAAAATTCTTTTTTTGAGATTTACACACACACATAGACACAGCATAAATGGAAGATACACAGATTTTAGATACAATAAATAATAGCGAATGAGTGAAAATTATCTGCAGGAAAACAGGAAACTATAATAGG